ATTCAGAAGCCAGTACATGCCCAGTACTTGCCTTCTCTATGTTGCATTATCAACAAAGGAGTAAAGGACATAAAAAAACTGAGGCACAAGAAATTCCTGGAACTATTCAGTAGCAAACACGGAGCATTGCTGACAAGTTGCGATGGAGTACACATGAGCCTCCTTCCTCCCTGCAGGGATTCCCTGAAGAAACACATCAAGAGGGCCAATTATCAAGCTCTTATATGGAATCAGGCAACTAAATCAACCCAAGCCATTCCTGCATCAGAAGCTCATGACTGGGAACTTGTAGAGGGAAAACTGGAGTGGAAGTGGACAGAAGATGCCGCCGTGCCACAAGAGCTGGTGGATGAATAAGACCCAGAATTTTGTAATCTCATGGACTGCATCTGTGAGCTTGATGACTAGATTTTGTGATTTGTTTTCTACAGTCTCAACCAAGTAAAATCATACAAAAGATCTTGTGATATTGAACTCATTTCCACTGATTTTTTGTTAAGTTTGAAGATGAATAAAACTCGTAATAAGTGTCAAATCTGAAACACCTTTAAGTTCAATTTTAGTAAAACAGGTCAAGATAGTTTTTTGAATGGATAAGTGAGTAGGATAACTAGTTTATGGAAATTTACTTCTCCAGCCTCAACTTTGAGAAAGGCACACCTTTACTGTCGATAAGAAGTACTCATTAGGCTATTGCATTTCCCGTTGCACTAGAAGATGAATATTAACATTTCTTTTTTATTCTAGTAAAATAGGTCAAGGGGCTTTTCATGCCACTCAATGCTTTCATCTGTCAATTTGCGAAGAATTGAACGTCATGTTGTGCTTACATACCATGGACGTACTTCTTACCCCAGAGGAATATGTCTGGCAGACAAACATACTGAAAAAACATAGCTCAGACAACCCAAAAAACATAGCTCAGACAACCCAAAAAACATAGCTCAGACAACCCAAAAAACATAGCTCAGACAACCCAAAAAACATGGTCTCCAAAAATCTCCTGGGGGGGGGGGGTCGATTAGGTAAGGTTAGGTTCGGCTCTGCAGCTTTTTCTGTGACTTTCCTGTGATTTTTTTATGTAACTTTTTATGTGACTTTTTCCTGTGACTTTTTTGTGACTTTTATATATGACTTTTGTCTCATAATTTTTTCTCTAACTTTTTTCCTGTGACTTTTTTCTGTTACTCTTTCTGTAAATTTTTCCTGTGACTTTTTTTCCTGTGACTTTTTTCCTGTGACTTTTTTCCTGAAATCGAATCGTGACCCACCAACACTACCTAATATCTCGTACACCAAAACCGTGATCTGCTGGGTGAATTAATGTGTACAGCATATACAGTAAATCAATGATGGGTTGGATAAAACGGCTAAAGTTTGTGTTTATTTTCTATGCAAAACAGATTAATTAGAATATCTCATTAGCATAATCTGTACCTGTTCAACCTTGTGGCGATGATCACATTACTCATGAAATTACCGTCATATACATAGAAGATTAATGATAGTGTCTCTCCCTCATTTGGCAGGATGTATGAAAAATTTTTGTCCTAAAGTCCGACTTAATCGTATTAACTTATAGTGTCGTCTGACCTAACGAAGCAAAACCGCATTAGTCATGCTTTTTTCTTTTAATTTCTTTTACTTGGGCTTTCGAATTTCAATGGCCAGCCTATAATCCCTTCCTTTAACTAATACGGAATATACTGTATATGTTATCTTTTACCCTTAAAAATAACGTGAATTACCAGTTACAAGTTTTGTTCTCCTTCATTAACTCTTAATAATCAGTTAAAAAATCAATTCATGACACGACAGACACAGTGACTGGGGGAAGATTATTCACTCTCATAATATCTTTATTACTCTAAAGCGTTACAAACCTACACAAAAACATTAATGGATCACTTTATAAACAGGCGAATGAGATGACCCATGAGTCTTACGCCCGGAGTTTTAAACATCCATTGACTGCAGCGCACGACGGAGAGGGGCGGCGACAAAAACGAACCAAAAATATTGGAATTTGAAGACGTGGCTTGTAACTGATCTCCGTTACCCTCTTGGTAATTGTTTTTTGGATATTTATAGTAAATATGATTAATGAACAAAGAAAAACATAATGGCAATTTTATATACTTTTTTTTTTCATTTAAGTTTTCACAGCCAATATCATGAAATTTTCCAAAGACTCGTGTTTTGTTTTACTGCCAAGTGCCAGCTCATTCAGCTGCTGGAGTCATCTCATCTTACAAACGCTGGTTACATTGATCAGGTAAACAAGTTAAAGATAATTTATTCGGGATTTTAGCAGTTTTGTGAGTGAGTTTTCGTATGGAATATATATTTTTTCCTCACCAATTTATGGAACTAAAACTCCCATGTTGATGATCGTTCGTGTCTGTCTTGAATTTGGCCCCACCGTTTGTCACCTCTGGCATGCCAACCACACGAGTAAGACGACCCATAGTGCATCAGCGAAGGTGGATAGATGGTCCCCCACAGAGAGGATGATGTTCGAGTAATTAAAACTACCACTTGAAGGAACAGTTCCTACAGGCAGGTTCTTCGTGTTTATATTTCACTCTTGTGGTCGATGGTTTGAGGCAGACATTCAAACATCCATACTGATTATCTTTTTGTCGGCGCTTAAAAAACACACTTACGAACAAACTCACAAAATCATCAACACACGCACGTATGGGTGCAACATCACTCAACAAACACCAGTAAATGCCTTTTTCAGACACACCAACGGACGCATCCACGCTTGCAACACCACTCAACAGGACTCTAACACATAAATTGTCTTCCCGACTCGGTATAATCACTTCAACCTTTTGAGAACTCCCGCTTACAACCCGTAATTATAACTAGGTGAGCCGTGCGCGTTGTATAGAGTAATTAAATCTGCGTGTGGGGGAGGGGGGCACTGAATGATATATGAGAGGAGGATTTAGGTTGAATTCCGTCTGTTGGGAGTCGTAGAGCCGCCAAGCTAATGAAAGTAATCTTGTCTTCATTATAACCCAAGTTCGTATTAAGGGGGTTGGGGGGGGGGTCGTTGTGTGGGTATTTTCACTGTAAAGAGGTTGGAGTCACTGTATTAGTTCTTTGTTGTATCTGGTTCATTGTAATGGTGATTCATTATATCCCTGGTTCACTGTACATGTGCTTCACTGTATCACTTGTGGCAAAGGTGAGAAGGGATGTGACGAGATGTGACAAGGGATGATGGCAGTCTCAGATGTCGTTATCAGGTCGGAGTCATCTGTCAGGTTCACGGCCAAGCGCGACACCCCCTCTCTCAGCTGCCTCTTTAAACTGTCAAAGTTTGCCCTTCTGAAATCTGGTACTTTAGTGGAATTTTCCTTACGTCTGCCCTGAAAATCTAACTGGAATCGAATTTCTTTGTGATGGAATCGAATTTCTTTGTGATGGAATCGAATTTCTTTGTGATAATGTGATAATGAGATGTGACAAAGGGACATGAAATAGAGAGAGATGAGACAAAAGACATGATAGAGAGAGAGATACGACAAAAGACATGGCAGTGAGAGGATGCATATACTCTCCTGTATGTATACAGATAAACAGCTTAACCAACCCTGAACCAACCTGATGATAAACACACACACACACACACACCACACACACACACCACACACACACCACACACACACACACACACACACCAGGGTTGTAGTCCAATAATCACTATTCTCTCCGGCTTCAGTACCTGAGTAAACTTAACTTTATCATTCTAATTTAACGTAAATTACCTCTCACCTAACAGAACCAACGTAAAGTAACCCTAACCTAACCTAACCTAACCTAACGCACAAAATGTAACCTAACTTACCGAGCTTATAACTATCCGTGTACTCTAACCAAATACAACCAAATTAAACTACCTCAACCTAAACTAAAACAACCTAAACAACACCATATATATCCTAATAAAACCCGCCGTCTCATAATACCAAAAAATCCGCAACCGAATCTGGGTCCGGATTCAGAGGGGAAATGAGTTTGGCCCCTTGAGATCCGAAGGGGAGGGGGGGTGGAGGGTGTTAGAAGGCCACAAAAACACCCCACCAATACAACGACTCTGGAGGTATTAGTTTAACCTCTCTTTAGTACTCGGCTAATCCTATTTAATATAACAAAACAATGATTTGTCCTCTTGTCGTTTTGTGTTCGTCAGGTGAGTCAGGGTGGGAAGGAGGGAGGTGAGGGGAAGACAGACTGAGGAGGGGGAGGGAGGTGAGGGGAAGGCAGACTGAGGAGGAAGAGGGAGGTGAGGGGAAAGGCAGACTGAGGAGGGAGGTGGAGGAAGGCAGACTGAGGAGGAGGAGAGAGGTGAGGGGAGGCAGACTGAGAGGAAGGCTGAGGGGAAGGCAGACTGAGGAGGAGAGAGGTGAGGGGAAGGCAGACTGAAGAGGAGGAGGGAGGTGAGGGGAAGGCAGACTGAGGAGGAGGAGGAGGAGGAGGAGGGAGGTTAGAGGATTATTTAGGTGAAGGGCAAAAGGTGCACTCTCATTAGGTGTATAACAGGTGTAATGAGTCAGGCCAAGAGGGGGGAGGAGTGGGTTCTATTCAGATGAAACGAGACGACATCTAAGCGAGGTGTTAAATTATACACGGACTTTCTTTTTTCTCTAACGTTATGACCTCCACCTTTGGATTTGGGAACTCTAAAAGACATTATTTTTAGGGATTGTCCTCCTGCCCATAGCTGGTAATGTGTGAGTACTGTACCTCCCTCCAACACCTGTACCTCCCAGCACGCCTTCCCTCCAACATCTGTACTTCCCAGCACTCCTTCCCTCCAACACCTGTACCTCCCAGCACGCCTTCCCTCCAACACCTGTACCTCCCAGCACTCCTTCCCTCCAACACCTGTACCTCCCAGCACTCCTTCCCTCCAACACCTGTACCTCCCAGCACTCCATCCCTCCAACACCTGTACCTCCCACAAACACCTCACCAACACCTACCTGAAAGTAACAGCTTCTCCTGGCGTTCGTTCTCCTTCTGTGTGCGGCATCTCATCTCCATGGCGCGGCGAGTCTCCAGAAAGGCCTTCCTCTGGGTGCGGTCAGTCAGGTACTTGGTGTACATCCCGGCGAAGTTGATGGCCACGTAGAGCGTGATGTTCGACAGCACCGGCACTACCAGAGCTGGCCCCTGCTGCGGGTACCAAAACAAAGGTCAAGTGTTAGTGATAAGAGGTCAAGGTGGAGGAGGCAGAGTTGTGATGGCCAATGTCTGGTCATACTTAAGGACACGAGGCCATACCTCATGCCCTTAAGTATGGCTTCATGCTCTTAAGTATGATCTCATGTCCTTAAGTACGACCTCATGTCCTTAAGTACAACCTCATGTCCTTAAGTATGACCTCATGTCCTTAAGTATGAGGTCATACTTACGGATATGAGGTCATACTTATGGATATGAGGCAATACTTATGGGCATAAGGTCATACTTAAGATATGAGGTTACACTTGAGGACATGAGGTCATACTTAAGATAATAGTTAATATCCCTTAAATAGTGGTCACAGAGTCCTCAGATTAATGCTGGTCTCATTTTAGACAACACTTGTAAGCCTTTGTATATGTTAACCAGCTTAATGCATTTGTTCATCTCTAGTTGCAAGAACAATATAGAGCAGTAGATTTAGGAGGTTCCATAAAAATACAAATATTAAAGGGGAAGAACTGTTTAGTTAAGTTAGGATGCTCTTTAGTCAGTACAAAATACGTAATAAAAGACCCATTTAGCTGTACAATAGGCTACCTTATTGACAAAATGCATAGAGAGTAAAACCGCTAAACAGATTTGATTATTCTAAATGTTAAAGTATGTAAACAGACCTTTTTTGACCTTATATTATACAGAATATATACGTAAATTTTAGTCGAGGCCGGAAAACCTGTTAACCAATCCATCTTTTGGTTCCTCTGCATTACCTACATTTTCGACTGAGCTATAAGCAGATTATAAACTAATTCTTCATTGTCCTAATTATGAGCCATACCTGTTATAACCTTCATGAATGACTCGGGAGGAGATTGGGTTTTATATTAAGATTAAAGGGTAAATTATACTGCAAGTTAAAGGTGAAATTACTGTCTACTCGCTCCCACAGTGAACCCCTGAGCGCCTCGAGATATCTTACACGGAGAGACTCGGATAATATAGTATTTAACAAGTAACAGTGTAACATAACATGCACCAATACATCTTTCTTTATGATAGATACATAATTATTTTTATTAAGTATTGTCAACCAGTAGATATTGTCTTAATCTAGCAGCAAAAGTTCACACAACTTGTAAAAGGAATATATGTGGGTGAAAAGCTCGGAACAGAAACAGTGATCAGCACACTAGTAGAATTCTAAATGGGTGAATTCAAAACAGATAATGTGTGTATTGAGTTGAATTGTAAATGGATATCTTAAACACATCAGGCATTGTATACATAACTATGACACAGATCAACATTGTTCTACTTAATCGGTTTTATATCCTCATTATATGTATAGTAATACTAGAGAGACTAAGTGCGCAGGAAAAATAAAATAATTTGAAACCTTGTGATGTACAGAGTCACTTTTGGGGTAAAAATATGTTTCAAGAATCGTCCATTAATGTGTTTATCATGTGTAATGGTTAGGTTAATGTTCCCTGCACTCAACGGGGACAACAGGATACCTTCCCCTCACCCCCCCAAAAAAAAATGTACATAAACATGATCAGCTGTTTGGTCTGCTGCAGTTGCTACAACAGGTACAAAGAACATTGAAGGTGGTTCTGCCTGATTCTCGTGAGCAAAATAAATTTCAAAATCAATCTTTGGAAACTTGTATAATTAAAAAGATTCTTTACTTCAATATCCATGGCCTAAAGAGTAGTAGTAGTAGTATGTTGAAAACTCCTATAGGAATCCATCAGACCTCTATATAGTAAACAACAAGGCTCTAAGAGGTGATACCATCATACAGTCAACCGAGGGAACAACGCAGGGGGACCCTGTACGCAATAGGCTCATCTGTGCTCCAACACACAATAAAATTTGAAACAACTGAGATCAAGCAAGTGGCGTACGCTGATGACCTTACAGGAGCAGGAAAAGTGGAGGGCATCAAAAAGTGGTGGGACCTGGTAACATCACGAGGCCCACAACCAAACACCAGCAAGTCCTTCCTCATTGTGAAGCCAGAACATTATGAACGGGCAATGGAGGTGTTCGGTGGAAGTGATGTCAAAATAACAAAGGACGGCCAAAGACATCTAGGCGCGTTAATCGGCACGGCGGACTTCAAGACCGAGTACGTAACGGGAAAGGTGAATGAGTGGGTTAGGAAAATCCAAGCGCTGTCTGAGATTGCTAACACAGAGCCACATGCAGCTTTTGCGGCATTCACCCTTGGAGTCAAGCATCGCTGGAACTACCTGATGCGCACTATCCCTGATATCGGACCCCTCCTCCACCCTCTGGAAGAAGCTATCAGCGTCAATTTCATTCCCAAATTAGTGAAACACCCTTACTTAACCCCAGAAGAAAGATCACTCCTTGCACTACCACCGAGACTGGGAGGAATGGGATTGACCAATCCAGAGGAGATTGCTGCCACCGAACATCAATACACAGTTAAGCTCACGGCAACCCTCACTGACCACATAATAGCTCAGAACGCAACAGGGGAGGTGGATACCAATGAACTAAAACAAAATTCGAAGGTCCATTACGACAGAACGACAGCACGGCCAAAGTGATAACTCTTGCTGCAAATACCAAAGAATTTGAAAAAAAAAGTAACTATAGCACAGGAGGTGGGCGCCTCAAACTGGTTAACTATGTTACCGATAAGGGCAAATGGTTTCAGTCTCAATAAACAAGAATTTACAGATGCCAATGCTCTAAGGTACAGTAGGCCAGTAGAAGGCTTGCCCTCCCAATGCGTGTGTGGCTCTTCCTATGACGTCGATCACGCCATGGTGTGCAAGAAAGGGGGCTTTATATGCATGAGGCAGGACGAAGTAAGGGATCTCACAGCAAATATGTTGAAGGAAATCTGCCGTGATGTCAGGGTAGAACCGACCCTCCTTCCATTGGACGGTGAGAATTTCCAACATAGGACTTCAAACACATCCAACGAAGCCCATGTTGACGTCAGTGCTCAAGGATTCTGGACGCTGGGACAGCGAGCCTTCTTCGACATCAGGGTTTTTGATCCCACGGCCGCATGTCACCGTAACTTAGCTCTCGATGCTGCACACAGGAGGAACGAGAACGACAAGATAAGGGCATATGGGGAGAGAATTCAGAATGTTGATCAAGGCAGCTTCACTCCTCTGGTGCTCATAACCTCTGGTGGTATGGGACCAAGTGCAAGATATTTCTATGCAAGACTGGCCAAGGTGTTATCCGAACAGAAGCAGCAGCCCAGAAGTTACGTTGCAGCCTGGTTGAGATGTCGACTGTCCTTCTCTTTGCTTAGGTCTGCACTGTTTTGCCTCAGGGGAACGATATCTTCGGCCCCAAAGCTGACAACAGTTGCAGGTATTGACTTTGAGGCTACAGTCACTGAATGCCGCATAGACCTGCGGCTTAACTAACTTAACACAGCTAGAATAGCTACTTCTGTATTAGGATATTTAATTTTAAGGAAATAAAATGGCGGTGAAGGTGTGGCTATTGGGGGAAGCTGGAGGCCACGTAAGAAGTATTATTATTATTATTATTATTATTATTATTATTATTATTATTATTATTATTATTATTATTATTATTATTATTATTATTATTATTATTAGTAGTAGTAGTAGTAGTAGTAGTAGTAGTAGTAGTAGTAGTAATAGTAGTAGTAGAGTTTACTAAAAACATTTCATGAACTTCTTTCATTTTTCGTTTGTAACCTGTGACGCCCGAAGTAATAAGTTTCTCCCTAAAATACTCATAATTTTTCATGAACCTCTTTTAGATCTTTTAGAAGAAAGACAATAGACAATACTATAAATGTACCACATGTGTTGTTTTTATCTTAAGTTGAATATATTTCTTCTGGCCGCTGCAGTATATGTTAATCAGGAAAATACAGCGCAGTTAATTCTAAGCTTTTGTATGCATTAATCAGCTTAAACGTTCTTTCATCACCAGTTCCGACGAAAGTAAGAGCTCAGTTACCACTAAACATCCACAGTCCGGTTACAAGTTAGGAGGAAACAGCGTGTGAAGATTTGAGGAACAGACGACCACGACACAAGGAAGTGTTTTACAAGTTTAACCCCCATGAAAGAAAATACTGTACCAAGAAAGCAGGAAAATTAACTTTTTCTTTTCGTGAAGCTTTGGTCATGGAGGTGAGAGAGAGAGAGAGAGAGAGAGAGAGAGAGAGAGAGAGAGAGAGATGGCCCGCCCTCACAGCACGACTCAGGGCCAAAAACACAACACGACCAACACCTCTCGCCTGCAGGTAAAGCTCTTGACAGGATACCTCAGACTGTAGCCTCAAGTCCACCAACAGTCTAATTTCACTCTCACCAGTCTAGTTTCCCCCACTAGTCTAGTTTCCCCCACTAGTCCAATCTCTCCCCACCAGTCTAATCCCCCCCACCAGTCTAATCCCCCCAACCAGTCTAATTTCCCCTCTCGCCAGTCTAAATATAACACGACCAGGAAATAAACAACAAAAAAGAAGATATGGTGTTATCCCGTCGTGTTGTTCTTTAAGGTCTATCCCGAGTTTTATTATGAAAGAGTCAAAGAAAACACTTACAAAAAATATGAAGCCTCCCTTCTCGACCACTCATATCCCTCTGTCTCTCATGCATGGTGTGTGTGTGTGTGTGTGTGTGTGTGTGTGTGTGTGTGTGTGTGCGTGTGTGTGTGTTTGTCATTCAAATCTCTCTCTCTCTCTCTCTCTCTCTCTCTCTCTCTCTCTCTCTCTCTATAGAAGAAACACATAAACAGGTTTTGGGAAGACAAAACTGACGCTCGATAAAGCATCATCCAAACTCAGAGAGACAAACAGCCAAGGGATATTATCATTACTTTCATTATCATTATCATCATCATCGTCATTAATAGAACGTACAAAATACCTAGACACTATCATCACCATCCAAACACACAAACAAAATACCCAGGTATCATCACCATCACCACCATCATCACCATCA